TCTACATGGCACTCCTTTTAATTGCGTCATGTCGTTCCTCCTTCTGCTTCTGCAGTGGTTTAAAGGCACCCAACTGGAATATTAGCACTACTAGCTGTTTATCTTGATGAACCTACTCCTAATAATCGCATCACAGTAGTCAATGGAGACTCGTATTAATTTGCATTTTTTCTTTTCTTGAAATTTGTTTAAAATCTGCACTACATTTGTATGGAAACTCGGCTAGAGCCTGCTCACACCTACAATCATTCTGCAGTTTATTTATTACGTGTGTCACACCCGTGGCAATCACACCCTTTATTTGTGCTCATTGTGGGAAAATTTAATTAAACTGAAGACTGTGACCGTACCTTTAGTAAGGTCAGCAGGAGTCTCATATTTCTTTTTATAGGCACCTGCTAGCATGAGCATTGCCACCTTTCTGTGCTTCTATCTTTCCTATACAGTCTGTATCCTAGTCTGTGTAAGGCATATGGCCTGGTTGTCATGTCTGGTGTGGTAGTCCTGTGTGCTATTTCACTCACGGCTTCTAGTTTTCTGCATATGACTGGTTGAGTCATGCTTTGCTTTTAGATGCTTATTGTGAAGTTCTCACTGGCAGAGGACCCCCAGGTTTAGTTGACCTAGGTTATTTAGCATGTAGATGTAAAAGTCGATTCACTTCTGGAACTCTCTGTTCTATGTGAGTTAGAGACGCACATAGCACTAATAGAGTATTTATATATTGTATGTGTTTTTATGCTAAAACAAAGCTTAGTTGTTCTGTGCTTGGGTGGCAGACAATCTGGTGAAATGGTTTAGACACAAAAGGCCCACGTTACAAGGTCAGCTGGGTTTCCTCAATTCGTTTTTCACATCTTCCTCCTCCTCTCAGTGTGTGGGCTGCCACCGACATCTCGGAGGAACTGAGACTGGAGTCCAGGTTCGAATCCGAAACAGGAAGGCCTACTGTGAGCCCTGCTATTTCCAACTCAAGTGTGAGTATTGTTTTTTTTTTTTTTTGTGAGACAATGACCTCAACTGATTGTCCCAAAAAACATGTCAAACTTCAGTTTCGGTACCAAATGTCACTAGCCTTCCAAGATTGTTGTTTTTGATTCTTTCTGAATCAATACGATTGTTCTTCAATGGCCAGTTTCCTTGCTATGAGCATCACTAAAACCAAACGTGCATTTTATTTACTTGTCAAGTAAAAATCTAACTATCATTAATGTTTATTAAAATTTCAGCCGCTGTTGCCCCCGCCATGTGACGAAAACGTTGTACTCCAGATTATAGAGTAAGCAGCTGAATCAGTGGGGATTGCTTTTGGATAAAACAATGAGAACACAGTGGAAACATTGTCCACGCAGCCAAGCCATGGCTTTTGTGTCTGACAATATTTGCTGGTAAAACTATAAACTCTACTACGTGATGTAAAATTTTGACAAGCCACTTTGTTTGTCTGTCCTCTTTTCTGCAAATGTGTTTCTAAGAAAATTTTGATTTAATATATGAAATAAAGTAATCACAGGAATATTAGTATTTGATTAATTCTTTTATTTTAATGTTAGTGTTGCTATTTGTCATATCTTTGTGCTATATTTGATAATTGCTCAATAGTGCATTAAACATGTATATTTCTTGTTAATGTAGCCCACGTATGGAGGCACATTTTAACTTGTACTGTTGCACTTTCTGTTCTATTGTAATCTCACCAAGTGCACTTTGGGATAATGCAGGTATTCCTTGTGTGAAAATGGGAAAAATTTAAATGTTTTTGAAAAATAAAGTGAACATTATCTATAAGGGTTTATTCATTTGTGTACCACATGGTGGCATCATTGGTCTCATAGTAAAACAGACATTTCAGTGTCATACTGTTGGTAGAAATGTCACTATTTGAATATATGTAAATTATTTGAGGTCACACTATTTGACCAGTAAAGTTTTATGACATTGAAACTATAGTACTTGCAAAACATGTAGGTGTGTATTAATATGATTTTGGCTGACTACAATGGCGTCTACTAACAAGGATCTAATTAATAAACAAGAATTAACAGTAACAGTGCAAAGCTGCAGCACATTTGAAATTGGGTGTTTTATGCTGTCAAGAAACTGGACAGAAAGAATAAATACTTATTTAAATGTCAAATCTTCTGCCTGCCCTGATCTGTGAAAGAGTGTAACCTTTAGTTAATCTGCTGATCTGTTGTGTAATGCATCAACATTTCATCCATGTAATGCATCAACATTTCTCAGAAATAAAATTTGACTGAAATCTGTTTGTTTGCTCTTGTTTAATAAGTTTTATAGTCAAGGAACTGCAAGTAAACCTTTTAACTAAATCAGTAAATATATTTTTTTGTGTCTTAGTCAATTTACTTTTTAAATTTGAATCTAGTGGTGAATGATCTTGTTGTCACAATTTCGTATGTGTGACGCCAAACCATAGCACCAGGCTTATTTGTTAAAATTCTTGAGAACTTGCATATATTTAAGAGGAATCCCTTTTTCTTTTATCCAGACTTGGCTATAGTGATCTAGTGATTGGGTAAACAAATGGTGTTTTATCATGAGATGGTCTTGTAATTCTTATGTTATTTCTTGTGAACATAGTCCATCTAGCTGCTTTAAAGTCAATTTTTGGCAAAGGTTAGTGAAAACCTAATCTGTTTTTATAAACTGCTAAAGTGGTGCGCTGCAAGCCACAGTATTTGTTTTTCCTCCTTTGTATAAAGGAACTTTCTGCTTTTCAGAATGTCTGTAACCGTTTTAAACACTAGTTGCCACTGCAGAGTATTCTTTCATTTTATTTATACAAACTATACCAATTCCGATTAATAGCTTGTAAACAGGAATTTCCTTCTTTTTTTAACTGCTTGCATGGCACAAATAAAATTCCATGTACCTCCTATTGTGTAAGGGTAAGCAAGAAAATGTTTTGTTATTTTGGTGAACTGACCTTAATAGAGGAAATTAGTGAAGCAAGGTTAAGCCAACAAAAGGGAAGAGAGTCTGGCCTTTCAATGGGGAAGTGCCATGCCTTAAAATGGTAGATTCAGGCTTTGACAGTCCATATGAAAGAAAAGTCTGTGGTTGCTTGCTGTGATTAGAACAAAAGTAAATATGTGAACGTTTTAAAAGGTTGCTTCTGAATTTTGGGTTACCTTTCAATGTTGAGGAAGGTTACACTGTAATAATGTATGCCTATGTGTGATTTGACACAGTGCTGGAGCTGCATTTAAAGCAGGATTTCATCCATATGAGGTAGTTGTGTAGTAATCATGTTTGTAACAGCTCACAGACCGCACTGGCACACTTCCCTCTGACAGTTATAAACAGTCACTTTTTGTCTTTATGCTACCTATCAGTTCAGATAGGTGAGGAAAGGAAGCTGTATGAAGCATTAAAAATATGTTATCTAGGCCACTGTGGCGTTGATGTGTGTTTTTATTTTTTTATTTGTCAATTTATTTTATTTTATTATTTTGGAGAAGTCATTGGTTCTTGGAGCACTGAGCTCCATATGGACCAAGACAGTGAAACTGAGATGTTTAACATTGGTCATCCAGCGCTTTTGGCCTGATGGATGAAAACGTTCTTTCAGTTTTCTGTAGCCCGGTCTTTTGGAAGGGAGAGTTCAGTTCCCTAAAGGCGCAAATAGAGACATTTTTTACTTTCTGACGTGCGCCATCTGTTTCGGCACTCTTGTGACTCCAGCCTGACCCATTTAAATACCACGAGTACAGTACGCCGGAAACAGTGGAGGGTCAAACAGAATGGACGGACTGCACGTGTAGAAACATTACTTACTTCAAATTTATCTTGAGAGTTGAAAGATTAACCAGAGTGACAGTATGGATGACGTTTACGAAGCAGTGAACATTCCTCTCACTAATACTACGCTTGTGCATCAAAATATGAACTTTTGGTTCCTTCACTTACCAGAGATTTAATGCTTTATTGCTGTTTGGGGCATTTATTTTAGAAATGAGCAAAACCTAATCTGCGAGGCTTAATGAAAGGTTACACTCAGACATCTGTGTTGTCTTAATAGGTGCTCAAAACAAACAAGTGGACAGCTGTTGACAGCTACAAGGATGTAAGTTTTTTAATCCGTCAAACTGACATGTGTAAAAGGGTATAAGTTGCCATGAGACATTTGCTACTGTGGCTGTTTTTCTTGTTTAAGACATGACCCCAGAGCAGCCAAGTGGAAAATCATGACCCGGGTCTTTGTCAAAGAACCTTGAGAATTTTTAAGACTACCATTTCTTCCTTTGTGTATAGAAACCTCAAGATTTTTTTTTCCATGGGAGAAATTCTGGGATGCCGTGAAGCTGTTATTTATGATACTATTTTAAAACTGTTTTTTCCTGTTTGCTTCAGACAGGTTTTAATAAAAAAACTCAGTAGTTAAAAGTTCAATGACTCCTGGCTTTGTCCTTGTCCATCCTCTGTTAAGAAATAAGAGATCTTTTTGATACTTAATAACTGTTTCATAACTATTCATACATGTTTTTTCTAACAATAAAGTTGGAGGGTCTGTTACACAGCTCAACATGAAAATGCTAAAAGACAGACTCCATAAAGCTTAATGTGTCAAACAGGAAAGCATGATGACAAGAGGAAATAGTTTCAAGTTACAAGTGTAGCACTAACCTTCTCTGTCTACTTGTCAATCATCTGCTACCAGCGCACTATCTGGACTGTTTATCTAGTTGAAACAGGAAGCAGCGAGGGAGAAAGGGGGCGTGGCTGTGCCTTGCAGATATCTGGTGAGTGTCTTCTCAGTGGAACATCGCTGCTGTAACATTGTCCAGAGCCCAAACAGACAGGCAGAGTGACAGAAAACGTCCAGCTCAACAGACAAACAGGCGGGACAACCTGGAATCTGTTTTAACAATCCTCATTTAAACTGTAATCATGACTAAATGTGATGTTTTCAGGCCATGATGAGAGGAACTTAAACCTTTCTTAAGTCAGTTAATCACACTCACCAACACTGACTCAACAGTTGTTCATACAAGGGCTCTGGAAATGAGCACTTTACTTGAAACAGAGTTCTAATGTGACTAGTGTCTACAACCATAATAGCAGCTCTCTGAGGCACAGTGGTTCTTTGAGATAAACATCACCATGCTACAATGCCCTGCTGATGTTTAGCCTGTGCTATGTTTACCATTTTAGTTTTGTGTGTTAGCATGCAAACATTAACTACTTTGCGCTAAACACAAAGTACCAGAATCAGAATTAGAAATACTTTATTGATCCTTGGGGGGAAATGTGTTTGTTACAGTTGCTCAATGTGCTCACACAATGTTAAAGAAAAGGAATAAGAATTATATTACAATAATTAAGATAATACATATAAAATATAAATGTATATACAGGTATATACATTTAAGTAAAAATAAAAATGGAAATAGAAATATAATAAGAGCCTAAGTATGTACCCTTTAATAAAATATATACAATATATGACAATATATACAAAAGTAAATGAATGCCAAAGTATGTGACCGACAATGCTACAGATGACGTTAATGGAAATGTCATTACAATTTATCTTGAGAGGGACATCGTTATTGAGATATTTCAGTCTGGACCAAAGTGATGGCCTGTCCAAACAACCAACTGGCAGACTGACATTACCATCCCTTGAGCCATGCTGCTAGCATGTCTGAATAAAGGCCATTTTTATAGTGTATGCAATGCTTTTTGTATGTTATGTTAAGGGGAACAATCTTGAAATGTATGAAAACCAGACTAGCTGCAAATGCAAAGAAATGTGTCAGTTTCTGACAGGAAATGCTGTTTTGTTGAACCATTGCACAAAAATAATGCAGTGTCTTCTTATTCATTACAGCTCAAATTAAAGTGACCTTAGTAACAATCTCACAGACCATCTTTGAATCAGCTTCCTCCACATCTTGCCCTTTCAGACAGACCTGAGAGGGAGGGGGGGAGTTGCACTTCTTGTGAAAGGAAGCCTGCTGCAGGCACAGTAGGGGAGGAGGATGCTCCCTCTCTTTCCCTCTGTTCCCTGCAGCTGATTGATGCTGGCAGCCTTTTACCTTTTAGTTTACCGGCACAGTGCAAGGCTCAGCTCTGTCGCTGTTGCACCAATCTCCGGCCTGCCGCTGCGCGCTGAGAGCAGCTCAGCTGAGACTGGCGACATTTACACCCTCCCTCTATCCAACAAAGCTACACAGAGCAGACAGGGAGAGAGCTTTATGGTCAGAAGCATGGAGGTTGATTCATTGTAGGAGACAGATAACATGGTCATTGGAGGATCACAGATAGATTTTTATCTGTCTGTCTGTAGCTATACCATGTCCTCCTTTTGGCTGATGGCATGACATGAGACTGAAGCATTTTAAAAGCAAAGAAATTGTGTGCAAAAGCCAAACCAATTAAGAACATCACATAATTGAATGATGCTGCATGTAGTGTGAGTGAGTCAGTCAATTTAAATAAAACTAGGCTGTAGGTGTGTGATACTGCCGTCATTGAAAGCATGCTCTGATTTTTTAATTTTGTTTTGCATTGCTGTGCTCTTAGCCACAAGACACAAGATATAAAAGAACATGTTGTTGCTTGTTGTCAGTAGGTTTGTATCTCTCCTTATTGCTAGGATTTTACTTGTACAGGCTGAAACAAGCTTATTTGAGGCTGGCCTTAACACAGCCTCACAGTGGGAGCAAAGTTCTGGCTTTATTATTGCTTTTCATTTTCTGCTTCTTACCTTTTCTCCAGCGTAGTGATAAAAGTTTGTGGACTTGGACACACACACAC